TCTTTGATCTTGGCCGCAGCAACTTCTTACTCAACACGTCTCCGGAGGCAAGAGAAACAAAAGCAAAAATGAACTACTGGGACCTCAGCAATAAAGCACTTTTAAATTAAGGCATGTACATTTAAAAAAATTCTATTCTTCATTTTTGAGAGAGGGACAGAGTGCGAATGGGGGAGGAACAGAGAGAGAGGGAGACACAGAATCTGAAGCAGGCTCCAGGCGCCGAGCCTGATGCGGGCTTGACCCCATGATGTACATTTTTTTAGACACAATGCTATTGCACAGTTAATAGACTACAGTATAATTATTTTAATGTTTATTTTTGAAAGAGAGAGAGAGAGAGCACGAGCAGGGGAAGGGCAGAGAGAGAGGGAGACACAGAGTCCAAAGCAGGCTCCGGGCTCTGAGCTGTCAGGACAGAGCCCAAAGCAGGGCTTGACCCCACGAACCGTGAGATCATGACCTGAGCCGAAGTCGGTGCTCAACCGACTGAGCCACCCACGCGCCCCAATAGACTACAGTAACAAATGAGCTTTTATACGCATTGGGAAACCAAAAAGAAAAAAATTTCATTTGACTCACTTTATTGAGAAATTCACTTTGTTGCGGTGGTCTGGAACCAAACCTGCAAAATTTCCGAAGTATGCCTGTATTGCCATTTCCCTTGATGGCAACGAGGTGGGTCCCCTCTAAGATCCACAAGTTATTTCCTAGAGAGTTAATAAGGGGTTGACCCCTGCGTTTCAAAAGAACTTCCAATCCTCCGCTCTAGCCGATTACAAGCTGATGTGACTAATTACCCCAAAGGACTCACATACCTCCAGCTTTATCACCGGCAGGTCCAAGCTGCGTTTTCAAAACACCCCCCTGCCCAACCTCTGCAAGATCTCAAACCTGAAAGTCTGGTTTTCTGAAAACTGCCCGGGAGCCTCAGTGGAAAAGACCTTATCAAGCACTCTTAGCAACTGACATGGCAATAAAGTCCATGTTTCTCAACTCAAAAGCTACACATCACTTTATCCTGACTAGTGGATGACCATCCCACTGGGACACTAGACAGGATTCTTAGGAACCTTCCAGAAACCACGGACCACAGAAGGGGACCCCTTCTGCCCAAGGTTAATTTTCTGATTCTTTAGCAGCCTTTTTCTTCCTGTTGTTGTACTTGACACTCCCCAGTAATCAACTGAAAGCGTTCTCAGTAGGGTCCGCCTTTATCTTCATCCTGTGACTTTTGACCCTCTGTGATCTTCTCCCACTTAAGAAAAAAAAAAAAAACACCCGGGTTCTCTCAGTCCACAGCTACTGCTCTCAATTTAACTGCTGACAAAAAATGTAATCATTCTTCCTTTATTTTTGTTAAATTTATGTATTTGTTTTGAGAGAGAGAGAATGCACACGCAGGGAAGGGGCAGAGAGAGAGAGAGAGAGAGAGAATCTCAGGCAGGCTCTGCACGGCCAGCGCGGAGCCCAATGAGGGGCTCGAACTCACAAACCATGAGATCGTGACCTGAGCCAAAA